TAATTCTTCAAAGAATATTGTTCTCTCCGTTGACGCATTAGGGGCATAAAGGTTTACTAAAGTTATGTCTTCTCCTTCAAGCGTTAGTTCTACTTTTGCCCATCTACCTCCTACTGGGTCCGTTGCATAGGATTTCATTTGTAGTTGTTGCGCATCTATCGCTTGGTTGTGTATTAAGATTAGTACCCCTGCTGAAGATGGTTNTCCTACTGGGTCCGTTGCATAGGATTTCATTTGTAGTTGTTGCGCATCTATCGCTTGGTTGTGTATTAAGATTAGTACCCCTGCTGAAGATGGTTGTGGGCTATGGGCTATTACTACTGCTGCAGAGTTTTTTAGCCTTCTGATTATTTCTTTCTCTATTGAAATGTCTGCGTCTGTATTAGTTAGATGTATTTCCTGTATACAAACTATGTCCGGGGGGTTGGGACCATTCCAACCAGTTGTGTTCATTAGGCAGTGCCACTTTTCTTGGTTTGTTAGAATAGTTGCTAGCCCTCTAACATTCCAGGATTGGATCACCAGGTCCCCTCTTGGTGGTTTCATAGTTTAACTGGAGTCATCCTCGTTTGAATTTATGGGGCTCTGATTAGATCTCTGAGCTACTCAGCGCCTCCTCTTCCAGTGGAAAGAGGAGAGAAGGTAACTCACTCACTCTCCTCCTGCTCTAGGACACCTGATTCCACCGGAGTTGCTAGTGTTGCTGCATTTTGAGTCATGGTTGATTCGCTTCCCAGTGCTGTGATTGGCAAAACTGCCACCAACCACCAGGGTTTCCCATGGAGTTATGCGTCTTGGTTAAAACGGACCACCAGGTGTCTAGCGTCATATTGTGCCTCGTTCCTCCCATTCCTTGCTCCTGAGGATTTTGTTTGACTTCGCGGCTCTTCCTCTTGCGTTTTGCCGGCTAAGCCCATCAGGTTAGGTTCCTTTCCCCTGCTGATCTTTCCTAACACTTCCTCCTTCTTTTGTCCCAACTGCCATCTGAGTATTAACAGGTCCTCGTATACTGCCACATTCCATTCCTCTGTCACTGATTCTCTCTGAATGGGGATTACTGCTCGAGATGGTAGCAGCATACTTACTTCCTTTTTTACCCTTTCCCAGAATGCTTCGTGTGCTTTGTGCTGCAAATCCTGAACAGCCACTGTGCGAAGTTGCATTTCTTTGTTCAGGTCCGTGAGACGTGCATTCTGTGCATGCAAAGCCTCGACCTGGACGCCCAGTTGTTCTGTGGTAGTCAGTGCCTTGTCAGATTCCTCTTGCCCCTTTTGTTTCCTTTGCTCCATTAGAAGTTGGGTTGGCTTGTAGCTCGGCAGTCTTTTTCCTTTGTTTTGAGTTGCCTCCTTCGATGTGCCTAGACCGTTTTCCCCAACTTCCATTTCCTGGTCTTCTTTTGTTGTGCAATATTTTTCTGCAAAGAAAGCTGCAAGCTCCTCTTCTCTTTCTAGAGGAGCAAAGGGGTTTTCTGATAGTGGGATTAGCTACGATGGATTGGATATCTCGGCTTTCAGCTTATTTTTTTGTTCGTCCTTGTGAAGTATTAGCTGGAGTTCATACTTGTCTTGCCTTTTTTTCTCAAAAAAATGAATGTATTCCAGAAGTTCGTTTTCCTGTTGACCTGACCAAGGATAGCCCTCAGACTCAGGGTGTTCCTGATCCTCCTCTGTGTCCTCTCTCCCCTTTTGGTCGTCAATGTGCTTCCTTTTCACCCCCACCACCGGGTTCTTTCCTCCCTTCCCCTCCTTCATAGTTGTGTCGCCAACTTCCCCCCCTGTGGTCTCGCCTGTCCCTTCTGTCTCTGCTCCCTGTTCGCTGTCAGCTTTTCCTCTTACCTTTTGCAGCCTTCTGGAGTTTCTTTTTGCTCGTGCTGTTCCTCCCCTGCCTGTTCCTCTTGCTGATGACTCTTGACTGCTTCCACCCATTGCCTTTCTGTGGTTTCCTGCACTGTTTTCAGATCTGCCTTTTTCCACGGGTGGACTGTCAACGCTGACGAGTTGCAGGTGAAACACTTGTTTTTCAAGAAAGTGGCAAGCGTTTCCTCCATGCACAGAACCATGATAACATTTCTTGTTCTTGGATNCGCTGACGAGTTGCAGGTGAAACACTTGTTTTTCAAGAAAGTGGCAAGCGTTTCCTCCATGCACAGAACCATGATAACATTTCTTGTTCTTGGATGAAACGATGCTTATGGTTCCTGCCCTTGGATTGGTTCYAGTGACTTCAACTTTTCCAGTATCCATTTGAGTTYCGCCTGTCTGTCCAAYTCCTGKYTTTTTTTGGAAAAGGTGAATAAGACCGCATGTTTGCTRTGAAGCTCCTCTTGTTTGGATGTTAGYTCCTTGGGGCATTCGTATATTACCACTTCTTCCTTGTTGTTACCTCCACGATCTATAAGTTTTGTGGTCTTGATGAGAGCAGTTCTAGTCTGTTCTGCGAGCCAGTTTTGCGTTTCCATGCCCATTCCTTCCATCGTTGAGTTGGACTGGAGGGTGGTGATTGGACAGGGAATAGTAGAAGGGTGGTGTTGGTGTGGGAATGGGAATGAGACCCTCCGATCCGACCGAATTTCAGATCTCCCAGTTAAACTTGTTTAGGACCACTGTGGAAATGAGATTGATAGAAAGATAATGACCGTAGGATTAACAGACATAAGAGAATAATGTTAATGTGTACCGACTATAATGCGAGGTGGTGATGTTACTGCTCGAGGGGGGGGTGTGAGCGCTGGGGGATGAACAACGTTGGGTGGGAAGAAGAAGGGCGGGGAAGGGGGTTATTATGTGATTAGAGAGAAGGGGCGAAGATGGAGGGCTTGTGGGTGGCTATGCTCGTACTATAGGGGGGTGTAGCGAGATGTGCTCAAGATAGATTGGGAGTAGGATCAAAGTTGGGATGGAGACGGGGTCCGGTCCAGTGTCGGGGGAGATCACGCCGTGGACGTAGCAGGATCAGGCTGGGATCGGGATAGATACAGGGTGGGATCGAAGGATGATCGAGCTAGGGCTGGGACAGGTTCGGAATGAGGTTAGGGTAGGTTGGGAATGAGAGAGAATAGTACTAGATGTGGTCGAGATGAGAGCTGGATGGGGACGAGAAGGGATCTGGCTGGGACCAATGCGAGAAAAGATGGGATCCGAATGAGATCGGGAAGGGATCAGGCTGGGATCGGCGAGAGAGCTGGATGGGATCGGGATGGGGTCGACGCAGAAATAGGCTGAGATAAGGTGGGGATGGATGGAATCGTGATGAGATCGGGATGTAGATGGGACGGGATCGAGTTGGGTCCAGGGAGAGACGGGATGGGATCGAAATGGTATCGGACCGAGAATGGGTAAGTGGGTATCTAAGATC